ATAATGTATATGCGCGTTGCAGCTGCTGCATCGCTTCATTGCGTTTTTTGTCGTATGTTGCTGGATTTAGCCTAGCTAACTCGCAACCGACCGGTTGGCTGCTTTTTTTTCTAGCTTCGACCATCACTTGACCCATTTTTTCCCCCCTCGCAATCTTTGCTAGATTTTTTCTTTTTTTTTTTTTACTTTTTTTTTTTTTTTTTAGGATTTTTTAAAAGTGTCAGAAAATATTTTGATAGAGGGAGAGAGAATGTCCGTTTTAATTTTTATAAATTTAATAACCAGTAATCAATAATTATATTAATTAATTTCCTTCACAGTAAACTTCATTCTTTCTCATTAAATTTTTTTAGTACTTTTCATTCAATTATATAATTTATTTTAAAAATATATCATTATTAATATTATATTTATTCTACATTTAGAAGTATTAAAAAAAAATCTATACAAGAAAAAAGAAATTCTCTAAAACCACCATAAAACTCTTAAATCAGACTAATATTGATGTCCAATTAATTAATCTGCTTATCAGGATTATCCTAATTTGTGCATTTATATCATTTATATTTTAAAGTTTGTATCAAAGATATATAAAAGACATTTTTTTTTTGACAATAGTATTACATCAGATTATTTTATTAATGATCGATTTTATCGATTTTAATGACCTCGAAAAATATGTGGTCAAGATCAAAGTAGCTTTGAGCAACATTCAAAAAAGGTTTAGCTCGCTGATTATTTACTACAAAGTTAGGTGCTTAATAAAACGAGATGCAGAAACGGGCAATTCCGTATTTAAATTTTCAACTTTCCACACAAAGCAAGATCTAACATCACCCGAATGCTTCGGATGCGAAACAAGTCTAAAAATATGATTACCACATGTGTTTTCGACTAAGCAAAATCCCCTTCATCCTTCGTTGCTTCGGACATGCAAAACAAGATCTAGAAAAATTGTAATTCTATACGCGTTTTATCATTTTTCACACAATGACGTTTTTTTCATTTCATCGCTGATGCAAAAAATCAAAGGAAGACCTCGATTAAATATTTTATTATCTGTACACATCGAAAGCATTGTATGGTGGACTTATTTTGCATCTTGATGTGCTGAACAAAATGTGATGGATCTTGCTTGTTTGGAAAGTCAAAAATTTAATAAGTAGAACTATACGTTTTTTTTAGATCTCGTTTTGCATTCAAAACATCGAACGACGTTTTAAGCATCTTCTGATGCTTAAAACTTGAAAACTTTATAACTAGAAGTGAGCGACAGTTAATGTTTGTTGAAGGCTATTCAGTGGTCTTCTTTTTGCAACAACTTCAAAGTTATTCAAATCGATAAGGTCGCCTCTAATATTCGTTTTATCAATTTTTCTAAACAATCCATATTTGTAGACACCTAAATGTGTTTTTTTACGATTTTTTATCGTGGCTATTTTATCATGTTTAGTTTTCAACATATTAGTTTTGAATTTTTTCAATTATTTATTTTCATTGTTTTAAAAAAATGGCCTGGAAAAATACTTTAAAATCTTTTTTAATATAAAAAAATGAAAAAATATAAAAACTGAAAATATGTATTTCATGTTATATTAAAAAATATTTTGGATATTATATGAGAGCATAATATAATTATGTTATATATATATGCATATAGGTATGTACTTCTTAATTAGGATTATTTATGTTTTTTTTTTATGAAAAATAACACTTCTCTTAATATTTTATATTGTAATTTAATTTAATCGACAAGTTCAGTATCACAAATCGACGTATTCGTCCGATTCCGTAGAAGAAGAATACAGAAAAAGTTTTGCAAACTCGCTTTATCGATATCCTTCAGTGATAAATCAAATACAAAATTCTTATATCCATTGTCAATGCAATTATGGTAATAACAGTAATTTCTTGTGTACGGATGAAATTGATGACTGTTAGATTGCTGGCTAAATTTCGCAATGAAATATAAATTTCCGCTGATTTTATATTGTCTATAGTTACAAATTATAGGTCAAAAAATTCTATCTAAAATTATAGATTGTCTCCGAAAGAAATTTTAGTGATTAAATAATCGAACATTTTCTTTTCTTCTATTTTTAAAAAATGGTTTCGATGTTAATCTCGCGAAGTACAAAACGAATGAAAATTTAGCTCGCGATTCTCGATGTATATATCGACGATTGATGGTGAAGATGTCGCGAATTGCGAACATGTCAGGAAGCAAGACACCATCCACGTGGCGATTAATCGTTCGGTGCATTCGCGGATCAGAAACTTCGTATTTGTCTACGGAAGGTGACTCTAAAGCAGGTGACTCGCTCGTTTCGGAGCTCATCTCTTAACAGTTTCGTTTCGTTAACAACAAAACACATATTTCATACATCTTTTTTACACCTTTTTCTGCTTATTTTAGCTTTTGTTGCGAAATTATGTCAGACTAATTTTTTTCATTATATATTTAAAAATTACAATTTTTGTTGTCACACATGTATTTTTTACATTTATGGCTTTTACTTTCATATATGTTAATACACGAAAAAATAATAAAAATTATTTACTTGAAATTAATTTTTAATGATGTTATTATTTTCTAATTATTATTTAACATATTTATTATTAATAAATTAAACGGAGAACATGTGTGTCTCGTATCTGTCAAAACAAAAAGAGCGAGGTCTTTATTAAAAACATATATATTAAATAATAAAATAAAATATAATAAGGAAAAACAAAATATGTATATTATTAAAAAAATGTATAATCATAATTTTTGTCATAACTTTTTATTACATTATGCATCATACACTTTACTATACATAATAATATACATAAGAAGAGGAAGACTCGAATGAGTTATTTTATCTCTATGAATCAGCAATATATATATTGCAAAGTTAAAATAACTTGCAACATATATATGTCTGATGCGGTCATTTCGAAGGAAAAATGTGACAAGAAAAGTGACGTAGTCGATAAAGACAACTTGCAAGAACACAAATTAGCGACTTGCGTAAAATGGCAAAAGTACACGTTACTCAAATCTATTTCCAGAATGAAGTTCACATTGTGCGAGACACGAGAATGTAAAGACTCTGCGACTAGATTGTGATACTTTACATCATTTGTTTATCAGAAATTATCAAGGTCGTCCTCCCTTTATATATCATCGATAGAAAATGCTCAATGTGCAATTGTACATTGACTCGTTTCACGTAAACATATCTTCCTCACGTTTATTTTCTACGTCCGCAAACAGAATCTCAAAAAAACAATATGTTTGCCTATAAGTATATTGAAGAACTAACTCAAAGGAATGAAAAATCATTGAAATTAAACTCGCGGAATATTTTAACGAAAAGTAAATGCAAAACTTTAAGTAATTTAATATAAATTTTGTGTAAAATTAACATATAGTTTTAATGTAAAAATTAATTAAAAATATGTTCATCTCTTAGATTTTATCATCCCTACTTATAAGTGACGATATAATATATTATAAAGTATATTATAAAATAAAAAATCAACATTTTTTCTATAAAGAACAGATAAATCTTATCATTAATAAAACAGAACATACTTACTGTGTAAAATTAAAAATAGATGCACATTGTGTATTTTCAGGTGTTTTAATAATTGAACATTTAAGTTCAATTAACACAACAGCAATATGTTAAATTAATACATGAATGTGTTAATATTGTATTTAACACAAAAATTCTAACGGGGATCGTTTTTAACAAGAAAACACAAATTTTCCTACTGTGTAGATTTTAATTAGATTTTTCAACAATTTTTCTCATTAATATATATATATATATATATATATATATATATATATGTATATATATCACATGGTGGTTTATTCGCGTAACTCGAAAGTGGTAGTAGTGACGAAAACAAATCAAGGATTAGGCTATTCCTGGTCGCTGTATGTAGGCCCATGTCCGAGAACTACACGTGAAAATAGCAGCGGTGACCGTAGAACCGAGATATATTGTAATTTATGTAACGATTTTCGGAATTGCAATTTTTAACACGACAAACAATTTCTATGAAATGTAATGTCACTCTATTAGCGAGAATCATCAAAATAATTAATAACGAAATTTATATGAAAATTTGTATATAATACACTATGAAGTACATGGGACATTCCAACAAATCAACAACTTTTTTGCTTTATATTTTTCATATTTTTGTAACTGTTAAAAGTAACCGTGAATTTTTTTAGATTTTTATCCCTATCGATATCAGAGTTATAGTTTTTCTAAATTGATTTAAAAATTCTAAGTAAGTTGAAGAATAAAAAATATTGTCATTACAAAGGTGGTCATTTTTTTGTCTGAATGTATTTTTGGAAAAAAATGTTTTGAAAAAATTAAAAGAAAAAGGTGTTATAGTATTTAATAGTGTTTTAGTCTATTTTAATCAAAATTATTTTATTTTTATTACTGAGACCCCTTCAATTTTTTCAAAAAAAAATGTATAACATTTTTAACTTGAAAACCAAATTTTTGAGCTATTGGCGAAGAAGGGATTCAAATATTTTCGATTTTTTAAGAATATTTTATGAATTTTTTTTCAAGTCTTTCACTTTTTGACATTTTACATTATTTCGAAGTTTTAAGGGCCAGAAAAGAAAATTCCCATATTTTTAATTTTTTGAAGTAGGCAAAAATATGAAAAAAAATTAAGCAAATCAAAAGTGGAATGCCCTATAATATAAACTTTTATAAATTAGCACATCGAATTTCATCAATAAGTAATTAATATTCCGATGTTATTTAATGTCCAACAATTATCATCGATATGGATGACACTTTCTTATTTTCACTATTTTTGTGAAATAGTGGAGCGCACGCAAAAATCTTCGGAAAAAAAAAATTCCGCCTCTTTCTGCTTTTAGAGAAAAAGTTTGGTGTTCCATTTTTATTTTCTACTTCTTTTCCTGTACCGTGGTCTTTTCCGATTTGTTTCTATGGGTGGTGCAATGTACCCTGCAGGCAAGGATGGCAGCAAGGTAACGACCGTGGTGGCGACTCCCGGTGCTGGTCCAGATCGTCCCCAAGAAGTCGCGTACACCGACACCAAGGTCATCGGCAATGGCAGCTTCGGCGTGGTATACCAGGCCAAACTCTGCGATTCGGGCGAGATGGTCGCGATCAAGAAGGTTCTCCAGGATAAGCGATTTAAAGTAAGCATCTTTTATATTTAATAAAAAATATTTTATTTTATTATACAATATATATTTTTTCATTTTTTATTTCATTTTTATTATATATGTTTTTTTCATTTTTTATTTTATTTTATATTTTTTACATTATATTATTTTATATTTGATTATGTATTTTACTTTTACTTTATTTTATATTTTATCATATTTTAGTGTTTTATTTGACAAATTTAATAATACATGTTAATATATGTATATTAAATAAATAATGAGGTTCTTTACGATTCTTTTTCAGAACAGAGAATTACAAATTATGCGACGCCTCGAGCACTGCAACATTGTGAAACTCAAATATTTCTTTTACTCTAGTGGTGATAAGGTAATTATCTTATCTCTGAGCCTTCTATAAATTTTAAGCGAAGATGAGCTTTTATCTGTCATACAAAAATTCTGTCATTTCTTCTGTCGAGACTCGTGGAAAAATGATGCGAAATATATATATATATATATATATATATATATGCGAGTATGCGAGATGTTAATTATTTATTATTTATATACCGCCGTTTTGATTATTTAATTCTATTGCTATTTGATTTATCATTTATATAACGTGTGTCTCTATAAAGTAAAGCGAAAGGAAAGTTTATTTAATGCATGCCACATTGTTATGTTCTTTTAGAACATCTTAACCGCGACTAATCCGGTTTTTCACGTTGACGTAAGTTAAAGCACACCCAAGTAGTTTTGTGCGAAAGTCCCCCTTTTGGTGAAAAAGAAAAAATTGTAGGCAAATTTTCGCTTTTACATAGAAACTTACATCTTCACATTATTCGTATCATTCTTTTTTTGAAACGTCATTTCTTAAGTCTTTTATTTTTTTTACTGAATTTATCACGCTGCTTCGCTAGTCTTGTTATCTCGTAACTTCTTTGAAAGACGTGTGTATAACTTAAATGTTAATAACATGAAGACGTCGATGTGTGGTGTCTAAGAAAAATAATAACGTGTAATTCAAAACATAAACAAGATGAAATAGTGGCCTACAATCGCTGTAATTTACTAATTGCTATAATTAACTAATTTTAATCAAAGACCCTTTGATCGATTTTTTTACCGAAAAAAAATCTCGAGATATTAATAACTTGAAAGAAAGCTTTCTCGAAGAAACAATTAAAAGTTGAACATATTATATTTTTATATTCTAAAATTACAGCCAAAATAATTAAGAGTGCTAATAATAATTTAAAAAAAATTTCTTAGATTTTGATTGAAAAGAATTTGTCATTTTTAGATTGCGAATTGGAAGTGAAACATTTCATACATATTTTTTTTAGAATATGCATAATGTTTGGTTTTGAAGTAGTGTGTCTTTGAGACGACAAATACCCATAGACAGATCTCTCTTTCACGAACATCGTAGAATTGTCATTTTCTCTTCTTTTTTAGAAGGACGAGGTTTATCTCAATCTAGTCCTGGAATATATACCCGAAACTGTGTACAAAGTCGCTCGACATTATAGCAAAAGCAAGCAGACGATACCAATCAGCTTCATTAAGGTGAGTTTTTTTTCATATTTTTAAATAAAATTAATAATTATTATGTAATAAAAAAATCTTTGCCAACTTGTATGAACGTATAAGTACAGAAAAGATGAAGAAGTTAATCTTTTGGGGTTTTTTGCAGCTGTATATGTATCAACTGTTCCGTTCGTTGGCGTACATTCACTCGTTGGGTATCTGCCACAGAGATATTAAGCCGCAAAATCTACTCTTAGATCCAGATACCGGTGTTTTGAAGCTATGCGATTTTGGTTCGGCTAAACATCTAGTGAAAGGCGAGCCCAACGTGTCTTACATTTGCAGTCGCTATTATCGTGCACCTGAGCTCATCTTTGGTGCTATCGATTATACTACAAAGATCGGTGAGTACTACAAATCTTGATTGACACGTTTTAAAATCTGAGGAATCATCCTTGTTATTATCGCTTTTTTATACTCTCGTATATATATTTAATCTTTAATCACAGATATCTCTCAGCTGGAATCTCTTATACTTCCATAAATATAACAAAAATAAAATAAAATATGTAGAAAATTATATTAAAATTTATTTTATTTTATTTTTTTGTGTATATTTTTTAAAATATAATTATTATATTTCTTCTCTAGAAGAATTAACTAATTTGATTAATTTTTTTTAAAAGGAATTATTTAATCTTCAACAGATTTATCAGCTAAAATCTCTTAAACTTTCATAAATATAATAAATAAAAATTTTAAAATATGATAAAATATAGAAATTGTATATTAAAATATTTTTTATTTAATTTGCTGTATAATATATTTTTTTTATAACTATTATATTTTTTCTCTAGAAAAATTAATTATTTAATTAATTTAATCAATTCTCTTAAAATAATTATTTAATCTTCAACAAATTTATATATATTAACTGAAATCTCTTAGACTTCCATAAATATAACAAAAAATGAAAAATCTGTAGAAAATTATATTAAAAATTGTTTATTTAATTTTTGTATAGTACGATTATTATATTTCTTCTCTGAAAGAATTAATTAATTAAATTAATTCTCTTGATATATTTTTCTTAATTATTAAGTTAATTTAATTCTCTTAATATACCTTTCTTATTTCCTCGACAGATGTTTGGAGCGCAGGTTGCGTGTTGGCAGAACTGCTGCTAGGCCAACCGATTTTCCCTGGCGATAGCGGTGTTGATCAGTTGGTAGAAATTATCAAAGTTCTTGGTACGCCTACGCGCGATCAGATACGTGAGATGAATCCCAATTATACTGAATTCAAATTTCCACAAATTAAATCGCATCCTTGGCAAAAGGTAAAGATTATTATTTTACTTACAAATAATACATACTTAGACACTTAGATACACATATCCAGCGACATTTTCCACACACTTCTCTTTATCTCGTGATTGTCTCCGTCTTGTTTCACACATGTGTCTATCACTTTGTGACTAAAAACTTAGGAATAATCGAAAAACCTACTTCCGCCTTAAATCTGTATTTAAGAAAAGTAATAGAGATTGTCTTAGTTTTTCTCAGATATCTGGATTAGTTATTAAAAACATATATAAATTTTAGACAAGATAGGGTCGAATTTTTGATGAAATTTACATACTTGAAAAAAAAAAGAAAATATATTTTTAAAACTCGATTGATGACATCAAAACAGTACATATCAATACATGTACTCGTGGTTTGCAGTATATGCTTCAACGAAGCAGTGAAACACCTGTGTGTTCCATGGAGCACCAGAAGATTAGAGTAAGTGGTCCGACTTGCAACAAGTCTTAACTGGTACATAAACTTTCTATACCTTGGCTCATACTAACATCCAAACTTCTGGAGTTTAGTATTCGGCAATAGCGTGCAGAGACTCTTTTTTCAATCTATTCAGATAAACTAACTTTAAAAAGAGATTCGAAAAGGAAGGGGAAAAAATAATTATGAGCAATTTAATGTAATTCCTAAATGTGAGAATCTCCTCTATTATCCGGTCCATCTTTATCTGTTAACGTTACTAACGATCTACGTACCTCTGATATTTGTTGTGGCGACTGAAAATGATTAAAAGTATCACTTACTCTGATGTTCTTCTGGTGATATTTGAGATTTGCATTTTTGCGTTACATATAAAGAATGAATAACATATTTTGGCCTTTCGTGTCTATCGAGAGTAGTGGCTTTTGGAATCTGTGTTGTTCATTTTAGATGTATATACATATTTACTTACATTGTACTTATTTGAATATCACACATACATATACAGGATGGAGGAAAAATAACGGAATGCCTTGATATTTGATGAAAGTATGGATTTTAGAAAAAAAATATTTTAAATAAAAGTTGATTTTATAAAATCAGATTTTTTAAATATTGCAATTCAAGTGTCGAATGATATTATTTTAACTTTGGATTACCTTGTGAAAATCATGTAAAGATTTTTTTAAATGTTATAAACAGTATTTCCTTTTATTACATATTCTTATAGCTGATTTTTAAACTTTTTTCTTTTTTTTCTTTTTTTTTCTTTTTTTTTTTACATCTTGACATCAGTTAGGAATATGCAATAAAAAATGGAAGTTCCTGTTTAAAACATTCAAGATGACCCTCATATGACCTTCGCAAAGTGATATCGCCATTCGATGCAATATTTGAAAGACTGTAATTTTTGTTTAAAATAATTATTTTATGAAATCCATAGTTTTCGAAATAGAATAGATGTTTCGTACTTTTTCCACCTTGTATATAGATGTGTGTGTAAAATACCATATGGCACAGGTGTTTCTAGATAATATCAATCATAATCATTTCGCCTTCTATCCTCAGCAAGCATAAGCTATCTTTTTAAGCATCACAAAATGAAATATAAGAACTGAAGTCTGGCAAAGCGGAATGTGATTAAAATCACTCTTTCAATGATAACAATTTATAATATTTATTATGCAAAAAATTATCGTTGGAATTTATAAAACTTTCTTAACTTTTAAATATTTTAAAAATACAATGTTTGATTGTACAGAGAGGAAATATTTTTCCAACTTTCACAATTTTCAGTCGATCTAAAAATTGTTGAATATATTGATAATAAATCTGAGATTAAATATCTGAGATTAATCCAAATTAACGGTCTTAAACTGATTTATTATTGCATTTATATCTAATCTGCATTACATTTAACAGATGCTTAGAGCATTGATTAAAAATCTAAAATAAAAATTATAAGTTTCAATATATGGATTTAATGTCAATTGCAAATGGATGTATTGTTTCATATTTTGTAATTTTTTTCTACAAATTAATAATCAAAGATTTTAAAATTTTCTTTATACAGGATGAAACGTTATAATATATAAAGTCAACATATTTTGTGGCAAATTATGTATTAAATAAATATACTGTTTTCAAGAACGAAATCTGTTTACACTTTAAAATATAAAATAATTTAAAATAAATAAAACATTTGTCGGTCTAAAGATTAGATGGTGTCTTATAGATTCTACAATACAAAAAGTTTAACCAATTTTACAATATCTGCATTAGGGGCTAAAATCACTAATATTCTATTCTAGCTACTAATTATTCATACAACTTTCAGTCTTTAATAATCTTACAGCAGGGAGCAGTTCAGTTGGCCCTTCAAAACAACACATTCTTCATCTTCAATCTTTCTTCTTCTTACATTCAGAAGACAAAGCTATCAAATTGGAGTGTGAACTGGACTATACCCATTAAGGCTCCTAGATCCTCGTCGCATGTTAAATTATGACATTAGAAGCGAGAAAACGCACGCTGAAAACTCTTAGATGCCATTTTTAAATGAAAAAATGTTTTGATGAGACACTATTTCAGCTATTTCAATTATTCTTTTCCTTTGACAGTCAATCAACAACCATAAAATGATCGTCATATTATACTTTGTCTGAAATACTGTGTTAATATTTTAACACAAAATAAATGCAACATTTCAAGTAATTTAAAATAAATTTTTTGTAAAGTTAACATAGTTTTAATGTAAAAATTAACTAAAGATATGTGCATTTTAGATGTTATCATTTCCACTTATATTATAAAATAAAAATCAACATTTTTTTCTGTAAATTTTGACAGATAAATCTTGTCACTAATAAAACAGAACATATTTATTATGTAAAATTAAAAATCGATGCACATTTTATTTTCACATTTTTTTCAAGCAATATATATAGCCATATATTAAATTAACACATGAATATGTTATAAATATTTAACAGAAAAATATTAACGGGGACCGTTTTTAACAAAAAAAACACAAATTTTCCTACTGTGTAGTTTTCGAGATATTTTAAGAGTGCTAAAACTATGCTGTTTCATCAAAAGATCTTTTTTATTTCGAAACTAGGCATCTAACAACTTTTAGCCTGTGTTTCCCGCCTTTGACATCACGATTCCAACATAATCAACGAGGGACCAGGAGCCTCAATATCTACCAACTATTCAATCTACTCATTGCTTCGTCATAAAATGATCGTATACACGACAAAGATGATACGACATAACGGATTGTTCTCGCTCTCATAATCGTCGAATAACAGAAATGTCAACTGTCGCTCTGAATAGAGGTCAGATATAAGTTCGATCGATGCTTTCAGGTATTCAGGGCGCGCACCCCGCCGGAGGCGATGGACCTGGTGGCGCGGCTGCTGGAGTACACCCCGTCGCTCCGTATGACGCCGCTGCAGGCGTGCGCGCACTCCTTCTTCAACGAGCTGCGCGAGCAGGGGACGCGGCTGCCGAGCGGTCGTGAGCTACCGCCGCTCTTCAACTTCACCGAGCACGAGCTGCGCATCCAGCCGGTCCTCAACAGCATGCTGATACCCAAGTACATGCAGTCGTCGGCCGCCACCGCTACTACCACCGGTACGGAGGGGAATAATCCTGGCGGAGGTGTGGGCGGCGGAGGTGGTGGCGGTCAATCGGACGCCGCCGCCAGCGCTAGCGGTAACTCTAATGATAATAGCGTTACCAGTCCTATCACCACCACCAACACCATCAGTACCAATACACAGAACACTGACTCCAGCCAATCAAACATGGCTTGAATCGCTTCGCTCTTCTTTTCCTCATTTTTCTTTTTTTTTTCTTTTTTTTTCCTTTTTAACGTTGTCAAGAAGGAAGATCAGATCGCAGCGGAGTTATATGACGAATTATCTTCTAATTATCTTCTGACGAGGATGTCCATGTTGTAAATGCGATATACGGAGTGTCCCGTTTTTTTTAATCGATCGCCGTCAATTTTCTTTTTATTGATACAGGACATTGTACAACAAAATGTTTTGAACGAACATTTGAAGGGGGACAGAAGATCTGGTGCTACAGACTTTTCTAAAGGGTGCTTTTCTTGATTCTTCGCAACTTTCGCAACTTTCGGCACAAGAAGTTAGATGATCAAAAAATGAATAGTTCATGAGATATTTTATATTTAAATTTGATGTAATTTTATGTAAACTTTAAAATATATTTTTTGACAACTGAACTTTTATTCATAAAATAATGAAAAGAGTCGATTGATATAAAAAAATATAGCTGTTTGTAAGAAAAGATATGTGCCTGCTGTTATACAATTTACATACTTTTTTTTAAAACGTCTATGTGTCTTTACACCAATTGATTCGTGTTATTTTGTGAATGAAAGTATTGAAATAAGATCGTCGAAAGATTAGTGTTTTACAAGATAGTTTATGTAAAATTATGTCGAATTCAAATATAAAATATGTCATAAATTATTCACTTTTTGGCCATTTTAAGTGAATGTTGTCAGGAATCGATTATATAAAAATAATACAGTGGTTCCATTTAAAAAAGCAATTAAATTTTAAAAACATTGATCTTAAAATGATCTTGAAAATCGTTCTTTAAAAAAAAGTCAGTAATATCCTTCTTTTGTCCCTCTTTAAATCGAACAATTTTGTTTGAAACATTTTGTTGTACAATAAATAAAAAATTTTGGGGGTGATCGATTAAAATGGGACACCCTATATATTTCATTGCGGAGTTTATAGATATAAGGATTTTTTCACCTTTTAGAGAGCGAGAAGTTATTAGCGTAGTACAGCGACGCGCGACTCGGCGAGAGATTAAGGTTTCTCATCCCGTCATCAACGGTTATCAGTCATATTGAACGCGTTTATGACATCAGGAAACTCGTATATGTTGAAATAAAAAAAAAAAATCTTTGTCGCATGTTTAACACAAAACTCTTGTTTGATGAAATTTATGAAACGTGCTGTTTCCTTTCTCGATTTGTAAAATTACTTTCATATAGCAAATATGGAATATACATATATATAAATAAAACTCATATATTTGCTATAACATACAAATTGAGCTTTCAGATATCAATTTTTATAAATGAAAAAGGAGTCAGCGCATTTTATATAATAAAAAAATATAATATATATATATATATATATATATATATATATATATATATATATGAATTAAATTATTTAAGAAAATTTTCGTCAATTTTTGGTATTTTTTTTTTTTATTATTGAGAGTTGCATGTAAAAAAACTAATTTATGTGCACAATATATGCAAGAGAGAGAGAGAGTGGAAAAAAACAACTTATATAATTTGCTATTTCTGATGCTATAAAAAGCAATATGACTTAGGAGCCTTAATGATACTATATTGTTGCCGAATCAGATTCAATGTATATATATATATGTAGGAATTGGTCCTTCTTTAACTTTAAATAACCGCTGAATGCGTTTACTCTAGTTAAAGATATAAACTAAAAGAATGTGTAATCTAATGTGTCTAGTAATGTCATTTGCATCATCATCGTTTTATACTTTAAGACACCGTGGTATCGAAGCTCGACGAAAATATCAATTTAAGAGGAATATATAAGAATACCGAAATAATAATAATTGAAAGAGGATGTCTTTCGTCAGATCAGAGCGATGCAATTTGATGACAAATTCATAATTATTATATCTTATGTTTATATTGAGAAAAAAATGGTCCCTCTTTAACTGATAATTAAATGCGACTGTAATTAAATACAGTCGAATGTCCGTATCGTGAATTTCGTCGAGAGACCAAAGAACGTTTTTATTGTGAATTTTTTTGCACACACATACACACAGATTTCTTTCTTGCTTATTTTTTTTAATGGCACATGCGTCGTAGAATGAAAATGTCAATCCTCACTTGCTTTCTCATTCTTTATGTTATCACGCGATCACGTGACAAATAATAAATAAGAAGAGACTTAGCGCAAGAGAAAAGACATGAGATGTTTATTATTGAGTTGTGTTTCACAATACAAGGTCGCAGAATACAAGAGTTTACTATACGAACATTCAACTGTACATATTTGCATTATATATTGCTGTATATATTGCATTAGATTATGTGTAGATATTTTTAGACAGAGTTAAATATCTGCAAAATTAATCGAGAGAGAGAGAGAAAGTACCGACGATTAAGAGAAAACTTATTATGCTGTTGACGTAATAATTCGGTGGCAAATGAGTTCTTCTATCGCCGAATTTACTAAGAATGCATTCGAGAACTGGTTTTTCTTTAATCGATAATTGCTTAAAATGATTCACCGACCCGGCAGACTCTGATTTGAAAGCAACTGTAAACAATGTGTAATCAAATGTCTAGCAATTTGTTATTACTACATTGCAAAAAAACTCAGCTTTGAGGATAAGAATTGGAGAAAGACCATTTGTGCTATTGATGTAATTTAGCGTATATATAGAAATTGGTCGTTCTTCTAATAACTCTAATAACTGCTAAAAACGCGTGATTCTAACTGACGAAAACAAAACTGACAAAAAAAAGGATGCGTAATAATTTGACATCTCATAACATTATTTTATCAGAAACAACGCAGGATCGAACCGATATAATTCACTGAGCCTATATTCGAAGATTCTTCTTTATTTATTTGCATTATAAAACGATAACTGTTTTTATGACACTTTTTTTACGGAAAAATTAAGTTTTCTTGGAACTAATACTGGTTTCGAATCTTCATACATGGTCATTGCTGCGAGATCAGTTTAAAATAAGAAAGAAAGTAAATTAAATTAAAATTAATTATCACACTTTCCTCGCAAGACAAATTCTATTTTCCAGATTATAATTTTCTGAAGGTTTCAGTGACTAAGATATTAAAAATGTGTATTAAAAATGAATAAAAAAGAGTAACAATGAT